AGGCACACCCATTTCTTTTAAAACCATCCATAGCTTCCCATTATTCGTACAGTCAAAGGCTTTGCTGTAGTCTACAAAGCATGGCCTGATTTGGTGCATTTGGTACTCCAGCAAAAGTAAGGGAGAAACTTACTAAATGAAATGAACAACCGTCCTGAAATCCTCAGGAGCACTCTGCAAGTCCAACCTAGGCAAGGCGGTATTGCAATTAGAGACAAAAAATTCTTCACAGGTTGGGCCTGAGAAAAGACAGAAAAACTACACAAAAAAATGGGAATGCAACAGTGCCCATTGGCTTCTCAGAATGGATTTCTAATCCAGGTTGGATGGCTCATGTGGAAACAACCTATAAAAAGCTGTCCTTTTTTTAAAGCCACAAAAGTAAGATATTTGACTTCCAACCACTTGACCAGATGTGTGATGGACTGACTCCATAAAGGAAAGCACAGCCTTGAACTTAGAAAAACTGAGCAGTACTGTCATAGATAGGACATTTTGGAGGGCTATAAGATGGCAACAACTTGATGGCACATAGCAAGAACAACAAGTCCTTGAGCCAAAATTATATGACAGGAAGGACTTGTCTGAATTTTAGCTGTTCTACAGAAGGAGCTTTCAGTGAGTGATTTTTTTCTCCGCATGTGGAACAATGGCACACGTGCTTTGCCAAAGTTTCCCTCCCTTATAGAACAAATAGAAGGCACAGAAGGATTGTTGATTCTGTTGTGTTCTGTTGCAATATTGGAAGCAACTGAAGAACCCTGGAAGCTCCCTTACATGGGATGGTGTCCATTCAGCCCAACACTTCTTGCTCTTACTAGCAGTAGCTTTTCAGAGTTTCAGGCAGAACTATTTCGCAGCGCCATCTGATCCTTTTAACTGGTGTTGGCAGGGGCTGAAGCCAAGATCTTCTGTATGCAAGACTGTTCCCTCTCCATGGACAATCTGAGTTCACTGCTGGCTTTGAGAGACAGAGAGGAAGAAAGGGAACACCTGCAAAACACCTGATCACACCCACCAACAGTGACAGGACAGCACTAGTCTGGAAAGGAGGGCGGTGATGACTAGACTAGAAGTTGGTTTGGAATGCTGAGGCGGCAATCCAAACTAGGACTGGATAGAGAAATTAACTCTGTGGAAGCTAACTCCTTATGAATTACTTTCCAACAGTACTGTGATTGGACTGAATAGTCATTCTCAGATTGGAACCTAGAGCTGTCACTGTTCCCTATTTGTACAGAAAACTTGTCAATGAGAAGTTCTAAACTTATCAATTTTGGGCAGAGCAAAATGGAAACTAATCACCCTTCAGAGCTGTAGGAACATTTATCTTCTTTTCAGAGGTCAAGCAGGTGACATGAATTTAATGTTCAGGCATCATCCAAACCAGATACATAAATCTGACTAGGAACTCAGTTACACTATTGTTCCCTTTCTCTGTAATATGCCATCTATAACTTATGCATGCATTTAAATAAATTTTACCCTGCCACATGCCTCAACCAAACCCTCTGAAAGGCCTACAACATTTAAGGCCTACTAAAAAAATAATTACAAATAGACAAAACTACATTAAACAGCAAAGCTACTACATATGTCCCCCCCCCCCAAACCCCCACATACACCATGCCTCTCATCTTTAATTGTACTTGACAACTGTCTTCCTCATGACATAAAAGAAAACTGGATATTTGCTATCTGCAAAACCTGCACTGGCTCACACTATAGCTTGCCGAAAGCTGCCAACCCAAAATACAAATAGTTTTCAAAATTATTAAAAGCATGATTGATACATACTGTAGGGTAAATGTTTTAAGTTAGCCCAAATTCATCCCATTAGTGAACCATCTGAAAGACAGACATTGCAGGAAGCATCATGCTGATAATTATTAGTAACTTCTTATTACGGTTTAATTACTAATTAAAGCCTCAGAAGCAGCATTATTTTTGCTACTTTTCCAATGAAGCACATTCAGCCTTTTTATAAGGCTCATATCTAACAAGAGCAGCATCCTGCCCCATCATTAATCTATTTGCACATGAGATTCTGGCCTTTCTTTAGCTCAGTTAAGACTACAAAGGCTGCTGTATCAGTTGGCTCGAGAATATTTATTTATTTATTTATTTATTTCAGGCATTTATATTCTGTCCTATCGCCAAGCACTCAGGACAGCTTACAAAATATAAAAATACCTACTTTCATGCTTAGCCTTCCCCCTTCCTTCTGTCCTTCCTTTCCAGCACTTAGAAAATGTAATAATTTTCTGCTGCTTCTTCTCCCAACATATCTTGTGACTAGGTCCATCTCTATTTGTCTGTAAGTCTTCCCTTATTATACATTATTACAATGTGTTAGTCCAGACTTCACGAAGGAAGGAAAGAAGGTTTGTATATAGGTTCTGCAGTAACCAATGTGGAAGAGCATGAAAAATGCTAAAGGGTTTCACCATAGCTGGAAACGAAAAATGAGTCAAGGAAACATTTGCCATGGAAATCCCTTTATTCCAAATGTTTTGCTTTTCCTGTCCATTTTATCCTCTCCATCTCCCCAAACACACACACACACTCCTTGGCCCCCTGTTTCCTCAGGAGTAATCATTATAGATTTATTGGTCCTAGATCAGATTTGTGGCTTCTCATAGATTCTCAGGCTGATCCTTGCACAGAAGGACCACATTTAGAATGCAGTGTATTCTGCAGTACTGTACCTAAAAAAGGATATTGTAGAGTTGGGAAAAGTATGGAAAAATCTAACTAAAATTATCAAGGTCCTGGAGGAATTCCCTTATGAGGCACAGTTACTACATTAGGGGCTTTTTAGCACAGAAGGAAAAAAAACAAGGAAGGGAAGACATTATAGAGCTGCATGGGATGGAAAAAGTGGACAGGGAGAGATTCCCCTCACCATCTCATTCCCTGGGGTAGTCCCATGAAGCTGATTGGTGGAAGATTCAGTTCACATAAAGGGAAATACTTCTTCACAGAGTGCATAGTTAAACTATGGAGCTGATTTCAGCAAAACATAATGATTGCCACAGGTCTGGATGGCTTTAATAGGAGATCGGACAAATCCTTGGGGGGAAGGCTATCAGTGGCTATGAATCCTGATCGCCCTATGCCACCTCCAGCTCCCTCCTATGCACACCAGTTGCATGAGAGGAGACTTTTGCACTCACATCCTGTGTGTGGCTGCTCATGTCCCAGCTGTTTTGCAGGGAGCAAATGGGGTAGCCATTTTCTCAAATATTCCCTGGAACAAGGTGAAATTCTCACACAGTTTGTTGGGGATAGTAGAGGGAATTATCTGCTAAAATTTTTTGGCTCAGTTAATACTGAGCTATGTTATTAGCTCAAAAGGGTGAATGAACAGATGCAATGCTCTAAGAAGCCTAAAGGCTTCTTAACAATATTGAAGTAATATTAACCCATATTACTATAGATCCCAGATTGTGCCCTGAATTTTCCACTCAATTCACTTTCCAAATATTCTCTAGGGAAGGATTGACTTTTTACAACAGTTCATGAGGAACTTGAAAAATAAAATTTCCAAATCTCTTCTGAGAAATTTCAGCTCACCCCTTTTCAGTTTATGCTTGAGAAATAATGTTTGAATGCAGCAAATACAGACTTGCAGTCAATTGTACTAAACAGGTACAATTGTCTGCTGGCTGAGATTGACTATGTCACTCAGAAGCATATCCTGGATTTGCTACTGTGTGATGTGTAAAACAACTCCCATATCTTGTTTTTTTCAGGATCCCTTTCAGTCTATGACTGTGATATCACTATAAAATATCAGACTTGCTTGCCCTCTGATGTAAATGTTCCAACAGCTGAGGTGAGTCACTGCTTCCTGACAAATGCATTTATAAACGTATTTACAGACATATGTTTATGCATCACACTTTTACATGTACATCTCTAATATTTTTACGAGGATCTTTTAAAAACAGCGTGTCAAGCAGCCAAATGGGCCACATGAATCAAGTAATTCAAACAGACTTATAAGTAAACTGGACACAGTGGTAAAACCTGCAGCAAAACCAGTGCTGTTTCTTAAAAGTGAATATATTTAATATAATATTCAGAAACATAATAGGAAACAAAACTTAGACCTTCTTAAATTAGGGGTATATCATATGTTGCAAGTCTTGGAAATGCCATCCTCTCTAGTTAACGGATGACAAAACAGCAAAGCAGTTTACAAACTTTGTATTCTATGAAACCTCAGTTACATACAACTTTCCAAACAATACTACCTGGTAATGGAATTTGATAGAAAGCATGTACACAACTTTCAGAAAGTTTGTTACAGATAAGTTCTAAATAATGTAGCTTTTGCTGTGGTAGATGATTAAAAGAGAATTAATATTTACAATAATAAAACATGACTTCTTTCTCTAAACTTAAGCTCTCTTTCACAGAAGGTATCCAGTGCCTTTTCTGGTAACAAAATCAATTCTGTCCTGGTATTGTCTTTCAAAGGAGATGAAGGAGCTAAATGTCCTATTCATGGATCCCGGAAACGACAAGGACGAATCTTAGTGACAGAAATCAAAGTGGTCTTTTCAGTCTGCTGTAAACTTACATTTGCTTGGAAGAAAATGAAGGAGAAACATAATAATGGGAGTCACTGTGTTACCCAGATACTTTCCAGGAGAGATACCAACACAAGCTGCTTCCACAAAGTTGAAAGTGATGAGGAGAGGAAATAAACAACGTGGAAATTAAAGCAATTTCAGTTTTGCCCTTGTGATGAGGTGGGCATGTGGTTGTGGCATGTGTTTGTTTTAAAGAAACTAATCCCACTTAATTTAATTACTCTAGAATTAGGCTTCTATATGCTTGCTTCAAAAGAAAACCACCTGTTTATTTCCCCCTCAGTATCCTTGTTGCTAAGGCATCTTGTTTCACTGTGTTATGAAGAGAGCTGCTCCACCTAGCAGTCTCAATCTTAGCAGGCGATGTTCATTTGTTCTGCCTCCAGTTATGGTCCTTACCTGGTTTCTTTGCAGGTTCAGGCATCCTAAGGCTTGGTCGTGAGCTGGAAAGCCAGGAACAGACTGAAACTGTGAGGAGACTGAATGACTCCTAAGACCACCACCCTGCCAAAGAAATACGCCTGGGAAGCCCCCTCCTGCTCCTCCCACTTTTCCCCCTTCTGTTGTCAGCACTGCCACCTTATCAACAGTACAGAGCACTTGACCGAATGCTTCAGCCGGGATAAATATAGCTGGGTTCCATGCGTCAGGGAGTGTAAACCACCCCAGATAGGCCCTGGTGCTCATTTGATGGAGGGCATATGCAAATCCCAGTGCACACAATGGTGCTGTTTGCCTAGCCCTTTCTACCACATGTCCTCTGCTTCTTTATAGTTACTGTGTCTACAAATCTCTACATCCACATCGTTCAGGGAGGATGGGTGCAACCCAGTCGAAGTTAAGCCCCATTTGTTTCTGTGGGAGTAATCCTGCTTTGTAACACAGCCATGAGAATTTTGAATGACAACCTTGAATGGGATCGGGACATAAAAGGGCCTCACTCAGTCAGTCATTCAGACAGACAGGCAGACAGACATATGGGAGTAGAGAGTAGCTGTCTCTTTACTCAGTCCAAAAACAGAAATCACCCTCAGCTCAGTAATGGTCATAAGTTGACTCCCAATTTTGCATTTACAGTACTGATTGGCATTAATGAAGAGTGGGCACTGCATTAGGAGCACTATCATGATGAGACAACATTTCCCATCTGACACTGAAAGGCCTGCCCTTCACTGACTTGGACACTATTGTGGGTGAGTGTGGGAGACAAAAAGCACAGTGATGCACTTTGCCCCTACCTCGAGAAAGCAGAGCTACATGAGCCCTATTGCTTGTGCTTTTGGTATACAGTACCGCCATCATCAAAATTTACACTGGCTGGGGTCAAATGTCATGAGCAGTAAGGTGGTTTTTCACTCTTATTGGTTTGTCATATCATCCAAACCCAGTCATGGGATTTCAGCACAGTTTGTTGGGTTCCTTTGCATGATGTCTGGGCCTGGGAACTACTATTTTTCCTTTTGTGGTTAAAAACACCATAGAGCCCTGGGGAAGGAGAGGCAACAGAGAGGGCTGCTCTAAGCATCTGTTCTCTACTACCCACAGTTTCCTGGCAACACACATGCCAATGCTCAGTTTGTTCCTATTTTCACCCTGTTTACTTTCTGCAGCAGGGGGAAAGCAAAGAAATGCATGGAGAGAGAAGCAGGGTGGGGGGATCACAGCAAAAATATTTATAACCCTTTGGGGACTGCATTGTCTAGGAGGGTGAAAATCATGGAAATGATGTATCTGTCTGGTAGGTCAAGGCAAAAAAAAAAAAAAAGCAAACAGTGCAAACTGTGCAGAGTTGGGTGTGTGAATCTACTTATTGTTGTTATTAAGTCAATTGTTTACTTGTCTTTAAGTGAATTCGGGTTGAGAATTGGGGCCTTTGGCTTCCATAGTGCAGAAGCAATAACAATGGGGAAAACTAAGTGGAAACTTAGTTTTGCTCTGCTTCCAGTCCGCAGCTCTGAAAACTGGGAATATAATGGCAGCCCTGTTATAATTATGACTCTTATATAAACTCTCCAGCTGTCTAGTTTTAAAATACCCATTTCTTTGGCTCTGACTCATTCACATTTGAAAGGCCAAAAGGATGATGGATGATTTCCCCTTCTTTCTTTTGCCACTGACCCACTGGCTACCAGGTGGCAGCATTGCAATGTTAATATGCTTTATATACCCTTCACTGCACATTTTGATCCTTCAGAATCACACCCTGAATCCTACAACTCATTCAGTGTTAGTTATGTCATTAGCAGGCTGCTGAGCCTATCTCAAGTTCCAATCTATTTGCTAGTATAGCTAAATGAATCCATCAGGAAAAATTCACCTTGCTCTCCCGAGACCTACAGCATCCTGAAGTGGGCCATCTGATGAGATGATGCAGGGTGTGGACTTCCTCTCAGCTTGGCTTGCTTTCCAAGACTAGGTTTAACACAAGAGGAACTCTGAATACTAGACAGATAAATTTCACTAGGTTTTATCCTACTCAGCCTTCTTCCGCACCTCTCCCTGTCCCCGTCCTCATCCCCTTCTCTTCCATTACTTTTTATGACAGTGTAGAAGAAAACCCCTCCACTTCTCATCCATTTGCATGTGTGCCTCATTCACAGATTTTTTTAAAAAAATTCTGCACACATCATCTTTCCAACTCCTTCATTTTCTCTGGCAGTTGCATTTGTGCATGACATAAGCTCCTATTTTCAACTATGCTGTATCCATTAGCATGTGCTCCAACTGTGATAAATGCACTTTGCATAAAAACTGAGACAGTGCTAAGCTTGGGATGAAACCTGCCAGAATCCATCCCTGTAGCATTGGTATGTTTCCTCTTGCGCTTGGCCTGGTCTTAGAAAATGAGTCGAGCTCTGAGGAAGTCCGCACACACTCACAGAACAGAGGTTGCACAACCGACAACCTTCTGTTGCGTCTGGTGCAGCTGCACAAAGGCGGCTTGGAAGACAGATATTGCTTGCACAGGGTATGGGGGTGCTCATACCCTGGGCATGCCACCAGGAACTCAGGCTCAGTTCCACAACAAAGTGGACTAGAGTCCATGGAACCAGACCCAGATTCCCACCCCCAAATAGATTCCTCACTCAGCCCTAAACTGTGCTCCTTCATCAACAGAAGGGGCTCTAGTGGAGATCTCTCCTAAATCTTAGAAGAGGGATTTAGAAAGTGGAAGAACTGCACAAAGGCTATGAAAGCACCAAATGATCAGTGGCTGGAGGAAAAGGGGACCAGGCAAGACCTTCTGAGGAACCCTGGAGAGCTGCACTGAGACATCCAGGGGACCATATTTAGCCCCTGGACTAGAGACTCCACACAGCTGTTTGTAAAATGTCCCTCTGATATCGCTACTGATAATTCCTGCAGTTAGGTAAGCATGTTTGGCAATCACAGGATATGAGCCTGAGCCTAGGAGACATGGCGTGAGAACTGGATAGTGTACCATGGGAAAAACTAGGGTGGCCAGTGATGCACTGTCAAAGCAGAGGAAATGCATCACCCAAAAATCTGCCAAAAAGTACATAGATTTGTATAACATTTGCTTGAGCTAGTATATAGTTGATGCAGAATTAGAAAGAATTGCTGTGATGTAAATAGAAATGCAGTACTGGTTGTGGAGAAGACTGTCACCAGGCGGATTGTATGCTTCCTCATTCTGCTGAGTGTAGATGAGAACCTTCCAAGCACCTGCTCCCTCTTCTTATGGCCTTTGCCTTTAAACCAGGCTTGGACAATAGAGCCCTCTCTTCCTTAGAGTACTGAAGAAGGCTGCATCTTCAGACCTCTTGCAGCCCCATTTCACTCAGTGGTTTCATCAGATCCATCCAGGCCCCGCCACACAAACAAAACCAGGGAGGGAATGGACATAGAGGCATCCCCTGCTATCTCTTTTGGTAGTGCAGCCCATTGGAAGGTTGCAGAACCTGTCCTCTGCTCCATGTAGCCAGGTCATACCCTGGGAGGGAGTTTGGTGTTGTCCTTGAGGAGCTGTTTGCGCAATGGCCTCAATTCACTTGTTGTACACTCCATGAATTAATAGAAATGCTCTGTGGCTCAATAGGGCTGCATTAGTTTTGTTTACACTCACTTTAAAGGTTGCAAATTGCATTCTGGATCTTGCTCAGATAATTCTAACAAAAATAAAGTGAAGCACTACCTTGTGTCAAAGTTTGGTTTCAGCTTTTCTGTCACAGTTCCTGTATTTTGCATGTGTTGCATCTGCAACTCAACATGATATTTGCCTTTTTTGGAAATATGTCATCTTGCTGACTCATATGCCACATGTAATCCAGTATAATCCCTAAGCCGAAACACAGTCATTTTATGGTTGTTTGTTCCCATGCATAATATGGCAACCTTGTACATGACACAGATATCGAAGTCATAAAAATATGGGAAATGCCTTGTAGGAGTTCACAAAGGACCATCTAAGGCAACTTTGCTCAACCTAGTGCCTTCCAGGTTTTGGATCACAACTCTCATCATTTAGGATAGTGGGAGTTGGGAAAGGTCAGTTTAAAGTATTCTGTATCTAGACTGACTGGGGCATGAATTTAGTGGCCTAGAGTTGAGGGTGGGGGATTGGTACTCAGAGGTATACTTTTTCTAAAATGAAATGTCTTCCTCTATTGATGAATAGCATAATTAATTTCTATTCCTCTTTCGTGTGCCTGAGTTTTTAACAAGCAAGCTAAGATGCCTGCATTTATCCTATCTGGTGGCAGCAATTCCAATTGGGTGGGTGGGTGTGTGCACGCATGTCTTGTGATGTGAACAAATAAGTACCCTTGGTATGTCTGTTTGCTAGAGGTTCTTCCAGTGCACATCATATGACAGGAAGATAAAGAAAGACTGTTTGCTGGCCTTCTCACAGCATGGGCCTTTGTTCCCAAGAGGGCTGGGCCTGTGAGGAGACCTGAGGAGGAGTGTTCTCCTTTCGGTCTGCCCCAGCCCATCAGTAGAAAACCTGGGCTAGGACCTCAACATTGCTCTTGCTCACTTCTCTACCCACATGCGCTTCTTAGTCTTAGCTGTGCTCCTTAACTTGCAGTGGCTAAAAGCTGAGCATCAGTCGATGAGGCTGGAAAATAATTTTACCCACATGTCTGATTGGTTGCAGTTATGTGGGCTTCTGACCTTCCTCACAGCAACAGTTGTGGCTTGTTTTTGAAATGCAGTGTCCTGTATTTCCAGAAGAATTTTTGTCACAGGAGGTTGAGGAACTGGGCTGGATCCATAACAAAAGAAGACAGAGGTAGATTTCCTCCCGAGGGGTTTGCTTAAGAGATACAGGGGTGTCACTACAAGGCCCCAGCCCAACCTGAGGAGCAGTGTGCATGCCAAACATCCAGGTACTGCAACAGTTCCCAGCATGCTCAATGCTCTTGTCACCCCCTGTGACACCCCAGGCTTGTTGCTCCCAGGCTGGGGGGTGGAAAGGGTCAGCAGTCGGACCGCTCCATGCTGAACTCTATTCCATGTGATGAGTAAACAGTGAGGTTACATGAGCTCTGCAGGCACAATTCCCCTTGTTTAGGCAAAGGAATGATGACACAACCCACTTCCATTGTTCAAGAATGTAAAGGTCACATAGGAGAAACAGCCTCCATTATCTTGGAATGCAAAGTCATGTAGCAAGCAACTTGAAATGATGAGATAACCAAATCAGGGACAGGATATACAGAGGTAACAGAGCAAGGTAAATGAAATCCAGAATGTATTAAAGAGCTGGTGTCTTCCAGCCTAAAAAACAGTTTTGCCTGCCCTGAAGGAATTAGGAGAATGCAACTTTCTTACATCAGCATGTTTGTAGCACACATGTGTAATGGAAATATATATAAACTTTGCTTTCTTTGTGGCAAATTAGAGAGCAGTCTGACTTTGCCTAGCTCTGCCTTCTGTATGCGCAGTCTGTTCTGAATAACTTTACTTGCCTTAAAAAAGGAAAAGAAACTGTTTCCAGGTTCAATGTCATCTTTATCAGGTGTGAGCTGAGAAATCAATTTAATTGGTTGACACCAACTTTTAACACTGCTTTCAAGTTGCTTTTTTGTTCTCCAGACTATTCATGGTTTTATGGAGCACCTCTGTGTTCCCCAATTCCACCATTCTTTTTTTTTCCTAATCTGAAAAACCTACCAGGCTGTTGGCTTCCTAGTAAGTATAATGCTCCAACTAATGCTACCATGAACATCATCTACATATCTTAGATGACTCCACTAATGTTTTTGTGCTTTGGGGAATGCACTAATCTCACAAAAGGTTTAAGCTGCTCAGATAACAATGAAAAATCCAAGAAATGGGATAAAAGAGGGTTATTGGTAGGGAAGGAAATACTGAGATTGGAAATGAACAAGAGGTCACCTCTGGTTTCTCTCAGATTCAACTTTTTTCAGACCTTAAGTTTCAGGTCTTTGAGAGTATTTTTAAAATTCTCCTGAAAATTCATATATATTATGGTGTGTATTTCTCATAATAAATGCATTTCAGTATGCATTTGGTCTAATCCATGCTTTTTGGAAGTAGTTTTCCTACTGTCATGTATTTTTCTAATGCATGCATTTCTGTGTGCATGTTTCCTTAATATTTTGAACATATTTTTGATTGAAGAGTTTCATGAAAAAGTTTGAGCAGTATGGATTTTGAAAGATAACTTTGGGCACAATACTACGATTGAGAATGGAAATGTGTTCCAAAGTTGCACTTGGAATTTAGTCCTCAAACTGGCCTCCCTCTGCCCTTGCAGCTAGGGCATTCTTTCTATGCAGGGTGCAGCTACAAAAATGAAAGACTGACTCTGGAGTCAACATAGGGTTGGTGTTTTCATGTGCAGGGAGGAAAGGACTCAGACAATGCCACAATTTGACGCATTCTGGCGAGATCTCGCAGCCTGTTTTCCTCACAAGCAGAAGTGAAACCCTTAACTTAAATATGCTTCTCCCGTTCCACAAAGTGCTTTGCAGGATGGGAGAAGTGCAGAGATGTGAGAAGTGCAGAGATGACCTATATTTCCATTTTCCTTCTGTCTTCAAGTTTGGAGGGTTACAAAGAGCCACACTGGAGGGCACTGTTCATTTCTGTTCACAAATGCATACAGAAGTGCAACATGAGGTTTGTGCACATTAAAATCCAAAGAAAACAAATTTCTCTTCTATCCCTAGTTGACATATGGGTGAATATAATTATACATATTAACCATTATGCTCTATGCTTATCTGATGGCATATATAATCAATGGCATAGTCAACTATGACAAAATAGCTTTATGACATCTGGAAAAAAACTGTCCATTTTTCATTCTAAAAGAGCTACTTCTGATATTCACAGTGCCCATTTCCAAACTTTGGGAGTGCTCCAGGTTTTAGGCAGGACTCCACTCCCTCACTTAGACTGAAGGGAAACCATTGAATAGAGGAATGGAATCTCTGCAAGAATATGGAACAACGGCACCCATTTTGCACAATTTTGCATGCACTGTGGCTTACTTAAATAATGTTTAAGCCACAGTGCATGCTGGGCGTTTTAAATATTCAAGACATGGCTTGTCGTGTCAAATGAATCTGGATAGTAGGGGTTGTGCAAAGGTTAAACACTCCTTGGAAAACCCTAGAATAGGCCATGGGCTATGCAAGGGCTGTTTGATCCTCATACTATCCCTGCCACCTGGGTTTGGATGACATGACAAGCTGTACTGAATATTCAGAATGGCTGCCAGCATGCACCAGCATATGCCAGAACTCACCAAGTTTTCAATTATCCATGCTGGCTGCTTTGATCGTGCAGACTGGCTCAGAGTTTGATGGAATCACTGATAGACTTGAAAAAAGCAGCTGCATTAAACATAAGCATGCTGAAAAATGCAGCTGGATGGAGCATCAGTTTCCTTTAACAGCTGTGGTTCAGAAGTGGTCAGAGAGGTAGAAACTCTTACCAGTCACAGATTTAATATTTTTAGAAACCACATGAAAAAATAAGAAGGAAGAGAAAAAGCAGGTCTGAAATGAAAGTGGATATTATTAAATAATACATCAATTCCAAAATACTTTTAAACATCTTGTTTCCCAAAAAAATGCCTCCTCATCCTACTTTGACATTATATTTCTAAATTCCAGTTCAATATAATAATATCGGTTCACTTTACTGGCCTGTTGTGATAACATTATGAAAACGAGTAAAAAACAATTCTGCTATGTATACCATAAGTTCAATACAGATTAATCAATTACTGTTTTCAGTACTGATATTTCATTGTGATTACTTTCAATGTGAATAAGTTGGGAGCCACAAAAGATTGAAGAGGAAGGAACTAGGCTGCAAAGGATTCTTCTGTTCCTTTACCCTCCTCCTTCCTTCTCTTCATAACTTAGGGAGGAGTTGGAGTTTGGAAAAAGGGTACCCAGAGCAAAATCTTCAGTGGCAGAAGGGAATGCTCTTCCTCCATCCCAACAGTGCTGCAGAGTAGGAGAAAGGGAAAGATTTTTCTGAGCCCGGTCCTCTCTGTTCCCATTTTGCAGTTTGGGATGGAAGAAAGCCACGATGTTCTTAAGGATCTGACAACTGGGAATATCTTTGCCTCTATTTTCCTTCATTTTTAAGGAAATGAAGGGAGGATATGAAAATAATCAATTTAAAAACTCAAAGGTAGCTATTGCAGTGATAACATGAATCAACAATACTGTGGCAATCAAATCCTGAAAAAAATCATACATATTTTCCAAGTAAATAATTAACTGTATATTATAATTGTTTAATTATATTTATGCTTAATAATCCAGTTTAATTTTCTAGGGTACTAATTAGAGTACTAATATTGCAGCAAAAGTAAGAAAGGTCTTTCTGGCACCTTAAAGACTAACAAATATATTCCAGTATAAGTCGTTAAGGCACTATAAGATCTTTGGGCTTTTCTACATGAGGCTGTTGACTTGCTGCATCTATCTTTGGTTGTGCAGCAAAATTGGGATCTAAGCATTGCAAAAGGAGTGTTCCCCTTTCTGCTTTTCCACCACATAACCTCTAGGAGGCATGGTGGCATACTGCAAATGCACAAATGGAAATAGCATTTTCTTCTGTCTTCAGAAAAAAATACAATTTTTTCTTATTCTTAAAAAAAAAGAAAGAAAAAAAGCTGCAAAAAGTGCTGTTTACAAAGCAGAACAGAAGGGTGATGTCATTATCTAAAGAACCTATAAACAACTGTGTGTAGGGAATGACAAGCATACAATAAATGCCTCATGTAGAAAATCTCCCAGTCATTTAAATCAGTTTAGGTGTGTGTAGTAGATAACATACTCAGCAATTGCTATAGTCACAAGCAGTTATGGACGAATACAAAGGCTATGCCTTCATTATACCTGACTTTATTAAATATCTTCATGTTATTAATACTTGTACAGTAAGATATATTTTCAAGGTCTGCAAACTTCCCTCTATCCAGGACAAAATAAACCAAAACTTTTATTAATGCTGTTTTAAAAGCTGTAAGCTATGGCACAGTCTTTCAAGGTGAAGCAAAGAAAATCTGTTGGAATTTCAAAGCTGAGGAAAGGAATTCGTACCAGAGACATTGGATGTTTAAAGCCTCGATAAGTAATAGGCACAGGAGGGCACAGGAAGCATATTAAAGAGGTTTTCAGAATTCTACTGCTTAGTCCAATCCAGGTGCCCCTGTTATGGCTTATCAGGATTCTGTGCTTATGCTCAAAGAGGATAGTGCTTTCTATCAATGCCGCTCTTTCCCATCACCTCTCCGCTAAACTGGTATGTCAGCTTCTTCTTGACTTTCTTGACCTCCCCAGTCTTCCCATAATTTCGCAATGCCCGTGCCATCTTCTGGTAGGTCATTTTCTTGCGATTGCCTTTCTGAACGCCCCAGCGATGGGCCAGTGCTTCTTTGTGCTTGGAGGAGAACTGGAACGTGCCTTTTTCCTTATCTACCCACCAGATGCTATCCTTCATGTCTCCGCTACGAAGCAGGTCAAGAAGAAACTGGTATAATCGGATTTTCTTCTTACTGCCTGTAGGAAGAAACAGAGAAGACAAGATGTGAGGTCACTTAGTGGGAACACTGGACACTGCCTTATACTAAGCCAGACCATTATTACATAAGTTAGCAGTGGCTTTCCAGGGCTTCAAAACCATGTCTTTCTTAGTCCTCCTTGCAAGTGCCAGGAATTAATCCTGTTAGTTTTTACAGGCAAATCACACACTCTATTGTTGAGCTATTCCTTTCCCAGAAAATCAATGGCCATAGGAGGAAGTGTTTACACTGTCCAGGCTCTGAATGTCAAGTGGAAATTTCAGCTTTTTATCAGTGATGGCGCAGGAATCACAGATTTCCATGACTATCAAACAAAGTATATACCTAAACCACAGTAGTGCAATATATGTTCTTGGTGAGGGAGAAGTTTTACATATGCCCAGTTTTAAAGTATTAAAAGCTATTTGATCCTCAAAACATTTTAACATACATGTAAAACCTGTTGAAAGTGGAGCTATTGTGGGAGGGTTCAAAAGCATGCTGAAATGTAGACACATTTCATCCACATGAGACATTTTACATGTGTGTGAAGAACAGAACAGAAAGATGTCTGGTGACCAGTAAATAGAACAGAAGGTCTATCTGTCTATCCCAAGTGGTTGTTGTTAACAGCAACAGAGCTGCTGGGACCCTCATCCTGAACAGCTATTTAGACTCTGATCCAGAAGAGGAGGAGGCAGCCAAATCTAGCAGACCCCTGGCTCCAGAGGTAGAGGTCCTGGAAACCAACCCAAACTCCAGCAGCATGAACAATTTAGATCAAGGGCCCTTGCTGGCTGAGGATTGTGGAAGCCTGGCTCTGGCACATCTGGAAAGTGCCAGGTCGGGGAAAGTTGAATTAAGGTATTCAACTGCAATAGAGTACTGGAGTCAAGATGTTATTAAAAGCATGCCTTCCCTTTTCAGGCCTCATGAACAACATTATTAAAGTATGGACAACATTGTATATAGAATATTCAGTGTGTGCTTTGAACTGCAGCTGAACCTTTATTACAGGTTTCCCCAAACTGGTGCATTTCAAATGCTTGGGATTTGAATTTCCATTCACCACAGTCAGCATGGCCAATGGTCAAGAACTCTGCCTGCTTTGCAGAGTACGACAACCCCCCCCCCCCCCCCGCCACAAAAACAGACAGGCCTTTGCATTGAGTTGCTTACAATCGGTATTGTAAGCAACCAGAGGGTGGCTTAAGAGAAGGAGGAGGATAGTTCCTGAGAGTGGAGTTGGAGGGGGAAATGTTCTCACAAGCAAGGACTGAACTAAGGAAAGAAGGGCAGAAAAGTGGAGCTGTGCATCAGCCTTTGCCCTGCTGACCTGCTTCTCCACTCATAATTCCAGGAAGAGGTTCCCCAATATCAGTCTCCCCGTCTGACACTTCCAATGGAGGGCTCTGTCTCTCTAGTTCTTCTTCATCAGAGCTGCGCTGATGAACAGGATGCACACATATGCGAGGCACAAAGGCAACCTGTAGAAGACAAGACAGGTGTTGAGGCCAAAGAGCATCTGAGGAAACAGCACCCCATGAGAGGGAGTGAGAGGCAAGAGTAATAGAGGAAGGAAATCAGGGAACTATTGATTAATTACATGCTTACCTTCCCATTGGTATGCTCAGATATGTACAGACATACATTAAAAAGAGTTCCACAGGACTGTGAATATGGCTTGATCTCGCTTTTTACTGTAAAGCTTCCCTGCCAAACATTCCTGAATAGTGGCAGAAATATGTCCTTCTGAGTAGCACAATACCTGGTCAAGTCACAGATTAAATCAACTGGCAAAAAGGTGAAGTAGGATATTGTGGACAAAATGGATTTTTTTTCATATATACTGCCCTGCTTGTTTATAGAACCAAAGGCTTGATCTTTGTCTTTGCTCAAATGTACAGGAAATATGTGACAAATAATGCTGGAACAAAAAGGGACGCCTAGAAATAAAAGATAAGCAAGAACACTTTGTCCATGACTCAGTTTGCCCAGCGGTTCAGGCAGTGGACATCTCATGTTTTTCTGTTGATGCTGAAGCTATTCTTTACCTCAGTAAAGAATGTGCAATTGGGTTGCTTCAGGGGTACAGTGACGGACGGTTAATGACTTGGCAGATCAACTGGAGGTGATGACTATGGTAGGAAGGATTGGGATTGGGTAACAGTGTGTGCACATTTCCTGCCAAATCTTCAAGTGTAAAATGACTGACCTTAACCACGGAGTCATACTGTGCATAATAAAGTTAAACAAAACAACAGCGAAGAAAATGGAGGCAGGCTTAGATTTGTCTCCAGAATTGAACCTGACATGAGGAATAGCAAGGAAAATCAAGAGTTTAACGGCAGCTAGTTAAATGTCCCAGTGGTTGTGGCTGGCACAATATTTTGCATATTGTAAAATTCTGTAGAGATCTGGAAGTTTTCCATGGGTGAAACATGGGAGATATTTTGAGGCAAGCCTAAAAAGCCTTATTAAGGAAATGGAAGTTCTCCTGTGGCATTTTGTACATTCCCAGTATTGAATATTGTAAACTTAGGAGAAGTTAGAAAGGAAGAGTCACTGTGCTAAATCCCAGAGAAGAAATACAGTTAAGAACATATACTAAAGCACAGTGTGAATTCTACTGTTAATAATTACATGAAATGGCAACAAGTGCTTTTTAAAAAGATTGAGATGATGCCTGGGATGAATGCCCCCAGAAAGAGAGAAGAACAAAAGGGGAACTTGTCATTTCTGACCTTCAAAAGCTGCTCGGGCCTTTTTGTACACGCTTTTTCTCAACACAAATTCCATTCCACACTCAAGGGATGCATCCCCTCTCTTTTTCCTCTGATTTTAGGTTAAAATCTATGTATCTCATATTTGCTTTGTGTGTGTGTGTGGCTGCACCAGTTTTTTAAACTCACTCTCTGTGATATTACAGTGTCCTTAGGTATTACAGAAAAGGACAGAAAATTTCTACCAAGGCTTTAAAGAGACAGATGCATTGTGCTACCTGCATGAGATGATTGTACTCAAGACTATGGGAGACATTTCTCCATTATTTCTTTCCACACCACTGTGGCAGTGTCCAGATGTATGAAACTTGTGGCCAAAGCATGGTTCCTTCCCATTTCAATGATTCTCTGCCATTCACCTGGGAAGGTTTACCCCAGGGCCTATACCATCTTCTCTTAGGGACTGATAGCAGACCTTATTTTTTAAGAGGATCCAACTGAAGTAATTGGGGGTTTCACATCTGGACTTGAGTAGAATGAGAGCAATATTCTTTGAGCCTTTATTCTTTTGCTTTGCAATTGAAGTGAAACTCCATAGTCGCACAGGGTAGCTGTAACAGCTCAGTCACACTCAGAAATAGCCACTCAATCCAGCAGCACTGTGACCTGCTGTTCTTAGAAGTACTCCTCTAGATAGGTTACCCTGAAGGGAGGGTAGGGTGAATGTACCCTTATTTTATCCCTTGGGGGGGGGGGGGGGGGGGGGGGGATGTGTACAGTCTGGAATACAAAGGGTTAAGAAACTCCTCCACTTCCATAATTCTTCCAGTAGGGGCTAATGGGAGATTCACTCCTAGAGCCAATGGCAACTTCAGGAAAGGGAATTTCACTGGGACTCCAGCAGTGCAGGAAAGGGTTTTAAAACCTCTTAATCCTCTCAGTGAAATAGTAATACTTGCTATTGCTAGCAAATGATAATAATAGATTTAGTAATGCACTATTACTGATTTAATAACACCCCTTCAATGACAGCCCCGAAAGTGTCTGTTTTTAAGACAGCAAGGAAATCTTGTATACTGTTGCAGCTTGTGCCAACTTGGTGCTCTCCAACCTGGGAAAGCCTGCAGTGTCACGTGTAACATGCTACTCTGCCGATCCGTGTCGGTGCTAACAGCAACCATTCCTGCTATGCATTATCCAGTTATCTCATTCTCTATCAGCTTTCAACTACAGGAGCTTCAGCTTGGCTGTCATGCTAAACTAGGAGCCAAAAGACCAAAAAGTAAACAGACTTTTGCAAATATACCTCTTGGGGTATTATTTGTACCTGGTTGTGGTTGATCCCAGGGTGGGTGACAGGGATCCCAGTATCTAGAACGTGCATCTGGTCCATCTCAATATGCCGGTAGAGCTGCTGCAGCTGAGGTGCCTGAATGCTCTGGAGCTCTGCAAAATGGTTGTCGCCAAAGCTCTCGAACTCAGTGTGCAGGTTATGGGGGTGATAGTCCCAGTAGCGGTCTGATGAAGAAAAAAGCAATTCACCTGCTAACACAGAAGGAAAATAGTCAGGCCTTTGTCCTTAGTGGGGGATCCTAAGGTGGGGGGGGGGTGCACCTAGAGCTTGCTTCCATCTGGAATACTTGGAATTAGAGTCAGTGCAGCGTAGGGCCACAAGGTTGGTGGCCAGTTTGCAGGGGAGGCCGTACGAGGTGAGACTGAGGGAACTGGGTCTCTTCAGCCTGGAGAAGAGGAGATTCAGAGGGGATCTGTTGGCGACATACGGGTATGTGAGGGGATGTCACACGGAGGTGGGTAGATACCTGTTCTCCCTTGCAAAGGAAGGCAGGACACGCTCCAACAGAGCAAAGCTCAGGGAATCAAGGTTCAGTTTAGATGCCAGGAAGGACTTCCTGACAGTTAGGACCCTGAGGGTATGGAATGGGCTTCCACAGGAGGTGGTTGAGGCCCCATCAGTGAGGGTGTTCAAAGATAGGCTGGACATGTACATGATGGGCATGTCATGAGCGGAGCCAGTTGGAGCCGGGGGTCAGACTAGATGGCCCTGGTGGCCCCTTCTGACTCACTCTGTTTCTGTGTTTCTATGTTTCTATGAATCTGTACTGAATTCGGGCAGGGCAGAAGCTGGATCTTTGCAGAATTCAGCAGGGCCAGCTGTGGGTTCATGCCCAGCAAAGTGCTGCTGGCAGGATCCAACAGCATCTGCCACCCTACTTCTAGGCCATGAGCAGCCATAGCTCTGCCATCTGCATCAGAAAGCTGGGAGCTGCTCAGCATTTAAAAGTCTCCCCAGTATAGTTTCCCTCTGAAGCACTAAGGGGAATTTAAAATGGTGGGAGAGTCATAGCTCCTGTTGTTGGGTCAAAAACTGAGGTGGCTAGATGGGTCCAATCCAGAGGAGGCATCAGCTGATGTCATGGCTGAAACTCAGTTTTGACTGTATATGGAAGTGGTTGGGTGGGATAGAAATCGAGCTTCTAGTCCCCTTGCTTAGTGGTAGACTTAGTGGTCAATAGGCCTACTTGCAGCTATATTTATATTAAAAGTTACTTCCATGTATCACAGCTAACTCACCAGGGTAGTGCCATATATTCTTGAATAAAACTAAAATAAACTCACAATTATGGTGCATCAGTAAATTATAATCACTCTGCATAGTGCATAATGACAAACCAGCTGGCTGAATGGACAAAATTTGGCAACAAACCATTATTGCCTGGACAGAGTGCCTCAAGGGACATATCTATGAATGCAAAGCCCTATAAAAGTTTTATTAGTACAACAGCCAGAGGCCCATCTTCATGATAATAAATAAAATAATGTAGAATGCTTGCTGAGGAATCTCGCACACTTTCAGAAACCATGTGAAAATTACATGTTCCCAATCCTTTACTACAGAGCCATCTAAGATATGTACAAATCTTCTCTAACTAGCTGAACAGATCTATGATGTGATGCATAAATGCACTGGCACATAATGATGTAAAAATGCTATGACCAGGTCAAAGGTAAGATCCTGAAAGAGCCACCTCTGAGTCTAGAATGGCTAAAGCTGGATGTGGGCAGCTCCGTTCTTTGGAGATTTTGCTCACACCTGGGATGGCTGCTTTTAGAAGTCATGGTGGGGGCGTAGCTTTACTCTGCCAGTTTTGGGACGCTGTGGGATCCTGCAGGGTTTTATCTGCTCTCCTATGCTGTATAAGTCCTGCATGAAACTGCTGAGGCAGTGGAGGCACTAAATCAGTGCTTCTGCAGGGTAATGAACTGAATGAGGGCCAATAAACTGAAACTCAATCCAGGCAAGATGGTGGTTCTGTTAGCAGGCAGTTCATCTACCATTCAACATGTTAGGTGGCTGCATCTGTTGCATTTTCCCTAGGACCAAATTTACAGCATGTGGTTGCTCACTGGTATTTCTAGCAACCTTCTTCAGCCCAGCATGGCCAATGGCTGTCTGGGAATTATGGGAGTTTTAATCCACACATGTGGAAGACACCAGGGTGGAGAAGGTTGACAGAAGATGCCTTCCAGCAGCTCACCCTGGTATTTTGGCCACCTCATCCTATATTGCTTGGCTTCAATATGCTACATCACAAACTTCAAATACCTTTCCAAAGGAGATGCTCTGTGACCAACTTTTTGGGTGTGTTTGCCCAAGCATTTTAACATTTTCATTTTAATGTTTCAAATGAATTAAATGCAAATTATTTTAAAATGGAATCGACTGTAGTTTTGTTTGATTTGTTGATTGAAGAGTTGTTACATGACTTGCTTTTTAATGATCTTAAGTTTTTAAGTTTGTGTTTAATCTTTTAAAGGGATTCTGTGGATCAAAACCATTATCATTTTTAAGCTTCCTGTTTAGATTACTGCAATACACTGTATGTAGGACTGGCTTTGAAAAAGATGTGCAAACTTTAGCAGGAGAATAGTGGAGCCAAGTGTTACAAATCTAGCATGCCAGATCAATCATCTTCACCAACTCTCAGTTCTTTTTTGCCTCCTGATCCAATTCAAAGTGATAGAGGGTGTGTGTGTGTGTGTGTGTGTGTGTAGTGTTAAAGACATTACTAGCTTGGGCTCTCCATACCTGATAAATTGGTTCTTCTCATATCTATTCACTAGAGCCCTGAAGCCATGAGGCCCTTCTCTGAGCATCCCCACTGAACAAGGGGCAGCTGATGGCCATGCACAGAAGCAGGGTCCCTCCCAGAAGTGGGGTATCCCTGCACCCCAAGAGACCTGCCTGGTGACTCTGCCTGATGTCTTCTCTGTGCAGTTAGAAGATCTTTTTACTGTCCCAAGCCTTTTAATTTATGTGTTGGGCAGTGATCTTTGTGGGCCGAATGGTGACCTGCCTGTGAATTAAAACTGTCACAGGACTGCACAGTCATTATTATGCTGCAAGTTCTGCAAGACTCTCCTCAGTCCACCATCTTGACATGAAGCAACACCATAATTATGTACAACTACAGACATCATTGCTAGCATATGAATCTAAGACGCTTCCTTATATCAGCTAACTCAGCTTTGATTTCACCGAGTCCAGTAGCGTTTGCTCTGCCTGTTAGTAGCTTTCCCTAATTCAGGCAGATCCTTTCCCAGTCCTCTTACCCAAGGAACTTGTAACTGCCCGTGTTCAGGACTCAGCTCCAGGCAAGTAAGCACTCAATCTTATGCTAGCACAGGCAGAACAAAAGGGCCCAGAAACCCAGCATGCCCCAACTAATGTAGCTGCCTGGGGCATGCTGGGAATGGAAGGCCACTTTTTCTGTCTAAATCTGCACAGGGTAGTGAGATGGTACCTTAAAGCATGTGCTGCACCACTTGCTATGAGACTTAATTTCCTACATATTCTCACTAAATTTTAAGGATTCGCTACATTGCTCTTACTCCTTTTCTCTAACTTCCAGCACTAAGGACATGGAAAATAAGATTATCAATGGCTGACGGCTGTCTGCTGCCTTTCGTTTTGGAGGCAGCATAGCTTGGGCATGGGTTCCCCACAGACCTCGGGGTGGGGAGCACTGCAGGAACAGAAAGCGAACTAGATAGTCCTTAGGCCTGATCTAGCAGAGTTGTCTTACAGGACAAAAGGATGCCGATGCTTCTTTGCCAAAACAAGATACCACTAGGAGCAAGATGGCTTCAACACTGAAGTCATTCTGAAAAAATATGCGAAGTGAAAGAGGATGTGAGAGGATTCTTTGCCATGGAGACAAGGAGAGCAGTTTTCTTTAATGTTGTGCGGAGGTTATAGGAAGGACAAAGCTCACTTCCCTCTCCTTAGTCACAAGGGTGGGGTTATTCATCTGTTGGGATACAAAAATCCTTATTTTGACTAAAGGTCTTATTGTGTTACCCACATCTATTCTACGGAAAATTTTCTCCCATATGAGAGGACTTTAGATTTTCCTCCTGCCTTTGATTATGTGTTTGATACAGCAAAAAAGACATTTCCATCCATGTTTCTTATATTTCTGCCTTCTGTTCACCAGACTTTAACAAAGGTATTTATTACAACACAAACTCAAATCAAGATGTAAATATTATGATGTATAATATTCACAAGCCTGGTTTGCAAGGCAGCCCTTCCACTGCCCACATTGCTCCTGTGTTATTGGTACCATTTGAGTATCTCTTTAGCCTCTCCTTTTTCTATGAAGTGCATCCAAAATTTCACAGGGACAATAGTGAGGAGATTTAGCTGTAGATGAGAGGTGAAGAATCAAAAAAGTGAGTTGAGAAGAACAGAGGAAAATGTAGAAACACGAATCAGTGTGAATGCTTTGCTCTCTTTTTTGTTCGGAGATGGCTACTCCTTCTCCTAAGAAAAGCTCGGCTGGAACAGCCCGGAGGCCTACGTAGGCTAGCATTCTGCCCCCATGGTGGCCACCCAGATGTGCATAGGATGTCCACAAGCAGAACACAGGTGCAACAGCACTCACCCGCTTGTGTGCCTGCAAGTGGCCTAATAAAAGTGCAGCTGGGGCCTTTGGTTCCTTCGCTAAAAATATAGAATCACAACTGACATATGCTCTGATGCTACCATTTCTTGTACACAGGAGAGCAAAGGAACAGGGAAGGTATTAATGGGAACTGGATTTTTTGTAAGCAGCCTGAAAGCTTTTCAGAAGAGCATTCTATATATCTTATATGTTATTATATATACATATATATATATATATATATATATGGGACTGCAGGTGGCGCAGTGGGTTAAACCACTGTGCTGCTGGGCTGGTTGATCGAAAGGTCGCCAGTTCGAATCTGCACAACGGGATGAGTTCCCGTTGTTTCGTCCCAGCTCCTGCCAACCTTGCAGTTCGAAAGCCTGCAAATGCAAGTAGATAAAAAGGTACCACTTCGGTGGGCAGGTAACAGCATTCCGTGCACTTTGGTTTTTAGTCATGCCGGCCACATGACCACGGAGACTGTCTGAGGACAAACACTGGCTCCCTTGGCTAGGAAACGGAGATGAGCACCGCCCCCTAGAGTCAGGCATGACTGGACTTAATGTCAAGGGGAAACCTTTACCTTTACCTTTATACATATATATATATATATATATATATATATATATATATATAGTGCTGTAGTAATGCCCCAGCGCCCAGAATACTCAAAATATTCTGAACTAACAGAGAAAACTATTTTAGTTCAGGCAGCAAAAGAATAACAAATGGAGACATCACCATTTTGTAAACATGGAAGTTATGTCTTAGCAGGAATGGGATTTCCTTCATTCCTGTGATTTCAAACCCCATTCACTGTTCCCTTTTATCAGGTCTGAGTCTATGTTGTTTCAGTTCTAGTCACAACAAGAACAAGAACAATACCCCAGGCATCGGCTAATTGGCCATCTAGTTCTTGCTGTAGGACCTATCCCCAGTCCAGGTAGAACTTCCACCTCAGACATAGGTTTGGGCTCAGAGGAGGAGGGAGTAGTGTCTTGTCCAGCTGTGAGTAAGAGGAGCCCAGATGTTTCAGCTTGGCCTGGCCTACCCCAGCCTTGTGAACAGGGGAGAAGGGAGGCATCGGAGGCTAACATGACTAATTTTGTTCAGGTGGAAGACTCAGCTAGGGCTGGGATGAGTCCCAGCAAAATCCATCCCTCTAGTATTCACAGACTTGCTCGCATGCTTGGCTCCACCTTGCCAAGGGAAAGCCTGCGAACACTCATGGAAGAAAGCTTGCTCAACTGGCAGCCTTCTTCTGCAACAAACAACTGCTACACATGGAGTGGAAAGGGATGCTGCCAGCTGTCACATGGGCCTCATTTACTGGCAAGTCCCACATTACCATTTGCAATGTACCTCTTTCATGCCACGTGTTGCAGCCATTTGGGCTGCTGCACCGAATGTGGGACTTGCTAGCAGTTGTGAAGGGCTCCATCTTTGGTGAGCTCCCCGCGAATGCTGGGCATGCCCTCCAGGAACTCACACGCAGGGCTGCTGCAAAGTGGACCAGAGACCAATGGTTTCCCACCCACAAATGGATTCCTCACACATCCCTAGACTTGACCTTGGCAGAGGTAGCTGCTGATCAGCCAGGGGCATCCTCCTTGGCAGCAAGAAGAGGGCTCTGCAGGAGAGGCCATTTCAGGGATGTCTTTGTGGGCCTACTGGGAGCATAAGAGAGCAGAGCAGAAATATGCCCTCAGGCATAGCTCCAGGTCAAGTCATAGGTTTCCTTCCTAGGACCAAGGATCAGACAACATTTCATGGAGGCCACTCCCAGAGTATCTCAGACCCTCTGTAGGAGACAATAGCTCACCCCTTGGCAAAGCTTCCAGCCACTGGTGGAAACATGAGTGTGGGGTGAAACTATTGTTGGCCACTGTTTTCAGGGGGCCTAAGCACTGGACTCATGGACTGCATGCTGAGAGAAGCACCAGACACTGACCTTGTAGCTTGTGATGGCCTCTGACAGAATTGCAAGCTCACAGGGGGAATTACTTTAATAAAGATGTTTTATGGTAAGTCTTGTGATGACTGAAGGCTGACACAAAACAATTACTACCATCTTGGAAATGCATGCAATGTGATTACTAAACACATTGTTGTGTCTTTGAGTTTGATGAACCAGGTTTGGAAGGGCACAAGCAAAGGCAAAAATCTTAGCACTACCACTGCCCTATGTAAGAGTTTCCCTCTATGCCAATGTAATCACATGGAGGGGACAGAATGGCCCAACTCCCCCTCCCCACTCTGTCCCTCGCTTAGCTGCCCTCCCAGGGAGAGAGCCTCTGTAAGGAGAAGAGAATCCTACTAATTCTGCATAGGTTCTCCTCATGAACCCAGAACCTGCATGGACCCCAGTTGTGAGGAAAGCCTACACACATATAGCAGGGTCCCGCTGACAGATTTTCTCTCCCTGTTCTCACCTGCCACCTATTTATAATTGTATGGATGGGTATGTCTAAGTGGTTGGGAGGAATGTCTGTTTTATTTCTCTTTCCGGTAATAGGGAAGCCATTCTGGAAAACTGTCCCAAGATGCTTGCTGACTCCCATCAGATCCTGCTTAAAGCAGCCATTTTGGTCCCAGAGAAAATGGTGGAAGGAGCCCCTTTCAGTCAAACAAAGGTGTCTCAGCAGCAAACAATCCCTTCCTCATTAGTACAATTTTGTCTTGTGGGAATAGCTGAAAATAATATTGGATGTTCCTGCACTTAGCTAGGTAGTATGGGTTTATTATACATATTTTTGGAAGAGCCAGACCAAAAATCTGGGTGGATGCAATGAAACTAATCAAACATGACATTTGTCATTTGGCCTAGCTCTCTGTCCTTGAGATGCTTTTGCAACAACTATTTCCAAAAATGGTCTGCAAAATACATTTACTGAAACCAAGTGTTGTAGAACTGCTGGTATTGCACATTATGCCATAAAGCGCTATTGCTGCATAAATGGGCAGGACACATCAACCCTCGAAATGTCCATCAATTCATCTCTAAATGTTCAAAAACGCTTCACTCTGGTATTCCTGGGTACTCCTCCATTTACTTACCACCATGACTATCTGCATCACTGTTGAGATACTGGTAACTGTCATGGGATGGTCTGTAGATGTCTGATTCATAGGATATCAGATCTTCAGAGGGCTGTAATGAGAGGAAGAATTGTTAGGTGTGGACACTGAAAAGTCAATATTTTGCACTTCACCCATCCAGAGGAATAGGATGCCCAAACAGTGTAGGGAGGAACATCTACAGAGACAATATATTTCAGTCAGTGGAGAAGCAGAAAGTTTTTAACAAGTTTGCAGAACATTTACTGCATTTCTAAAATTGATTTTTCATGTAGTAGAAGCACACAGATGGATTGCTTTTCTTTCAGCATTTTTGGATTTACTCCATGAAGCAGCAGATGTTCTGTGGGACATTCTTCCCAATAATAAAAGAATAAAGCATTCATAAATTCCATTTTGCTTATTTAATATGTTCATTTTCATAAATATAATGTATTTTCTTCCAATATTAATTTATGCTGCATGATCCATTCAGGATTCATATTTCTATTTTAAGAACAAATGAACAAAAAACAGAGCTCCAGGTAGGTTTTGGCTTTTCTGCGATAGTCCAAGAAGTCCCTCTTCAATTATAATATTGCTGTTGGAATAGTATCTTGTCTGTGTCATCATTTGCATGTAAGGGCAAAACATTGTCGGTTTTGAACCCATGATTTGCTGTGGTGGGTGCCACCACCATTTTGAATATGTAACCTTCAATAAGAGGTTATGCCATAACATGCAAAGCCAGACACGATGGGTTTACCTCAAAATAACTGCCACAATTGTATTCTCAACAACCTGAAAGGGCTGCATAAGAAAACACAGGGCTATAATGACCCAAAAAATTGCTTGGATTCTCCTTAAAATGCAGGTGAACAAAGGATGGCAATTCCACATAAAAGTACTATTGTGGAAACAAACTCTACTTTCTTATTAGTTATTAAATAAAGTGCATTAAACCATAAATGAGATAATTTCCTGTAAATGGGGAGGTTTATATTAGCATGTACGCATGCACAGGCATGTTTCATCACCAAAAAACCTTGCATGATTTCATTAGTGGAAAGGGTGTGCGCTGCCCCTCTGCTATGGGGAAGGGTGAGTATGAGGTCCTCACTCAGACTTCCTGACCCAGGTTCTTGTTCCTTTACCAGATCCTCTCCACTTAGTCCTATTGCTCATGATTCAGCTTTCCACTAAAAAAAAACCCCACAATGAACTCCTAGAAACTATAGCAAATGTTTTCAATAAAAATTTACAGTCCCAGTGCTTTGCAGGGAGTCTCCCAAGCAAAAGAAGTGGTCTTGTTCAGTGATCTAGCTAGTTGGGAACAGGAGCTGTGTAGCACTGCTTGGGGTTTTCAAAGGGGCAGGGCATTTTCAGGAGGGAAAGGAAAGGGACCCCCCCCCACACACACACTTTTTCTGCATTTTTCACTGTCCTGAAGTTTTCCCTGCTTTGATACTTCTGTTTTCCTGGGGAATGCCACCCACCCATGCGTGAAGAATCATCCAGGTTACTCAATTTCCCTTTCAAAGTGGCGGGTACCACATGGGAGCAAGAAAGACCCTAAGATTATAAAGCTCTACACACTGAGTATCCTGAATAATGCTGGGCAAATGCCCTCTGAGACAGGTAGTTTTTCTGGACTTTTTCTGTGGGTGAGGATGGGTTACCTGGCCAACATTATCAATAAAAAATTGTTTTCATTTGTGACACCCCATTTAGCTCCTTAGTCAACTGCATCACTCTGTCTAATGGAGATGTCATCAGCAGGTCCCTGCCCTCCTTCCCTCTGGTTCCAAAACTCAGGGCAATCCTTTAAAAATGCAGTTCTTTTATTGGGACTCCACAGATAGCAGGAGAGTCTGAGCTCTAAATAGCCTTCCGTCAAGGCTAAAAAGAGACGTCTGCTCAGATAAAGAGTTGAATCCAAGCTGGAAAGTTGCCCTTTCCAGTAAAATCCCTGGCTCCACCCTTAAGGGTACTGCTTCGGGTTTTCAAAAATAATCCTATGGTCCCCAGATACATCTGCAAGACCTTACTGCTCTATTCTGCTCTCTTACTCTATTTTATTATTGCTTTTATTATATTCATTGCCATGAAAAGTTTGGCTGCATATAGTCATTGAAAAATGGAAGAATACATAAATGAATAAACCCTGTCTTCTTTCTTATAAGGAAATAGAATCCATTAAGGAAGATTGTAGTACTAGGAGGCCTCCTTGTGAAACAGACCTGGAAAGAAAAATCTTAAAGTGTTTCAGCTTTGATCAAACACTGAGGTCACATGCATTTTCTTGGGCACAAGTCCTATAAGTTCAGCCTCCCTACTTCTGAACAGAAGTGGGCTCTAACTCAGATGCTGTGATTCATTCCTCCACTATGCCAAAAATGTGCTACATCAATCGAATTTCAAATTATGCTGGTCCTTGAGCTCAGATGGAAACTTAGCATATATTCCTCAAGTCCAAACAACTATGCCTTTCATGGAAAAGGGAATGGCAGAATAAGTGAAGGTTCTTGCATATTTGTAATCAGAAACTGCCTGTTTAATCTTTGAAAATTGAATTTTTATTCGCAGATCTGTAGCGCATCTGGAAGCCCCTCCAGAGAGAAAACATGTAGCCCACCAATGCATTTTCAGCAGTCCATTAGGAGCTCAATGAACCTCTTGTGTATGCTGTGCTGCCTGACTGGGGTTGTAAAAGCAGGTAGATGGATAAGCATCCAGCAGACTATGATCCATGGAAACTGAAGAACTGGCTTGGTGTCGCCTAAGTTTGTACATAGTGCTTGGAATGCAGGGAGTGTCCTTACATTGGTCCATCTAGCTCAGTATTGTTGATGTGGACTGGCAGTGACTTTGCAGGGTTTGGGAGCAGATATTTTTACAGGGTATTAGATCAGGGATGATCCACATGCAAATTGTGTGATCTGCCCCTCAGCTCCCTGGCCCTGATTCTGCATTTCAGATTGTATTACTCTGGAATCATGGAAGAAAATGCTTAAAGGCATTCGAATTTTCAGTGAGAGCCTTGGAATTAATCCACTGGGCAAGTTCATGGGCCAGTGCCTTAAACCAGCCTTCCTCCACCTCGTGCCTGTCAAGAGTTTGGCCTCTAAGCTCCAGATTGCAGGTCCAGTGGTGGGGAGTGCTGGGAGATGCACACCCAGAGAGACAGCATGTAGTCCACCAACCCATTTTTCCCCTTCTTGTAGTTGCATCAACATTGCCAAGCAGAGAAAAGAAATTACTACTACAGAAATAGTCAAAGAAATGTAAGTCAGAAAGGGATCTGAAAGTTGCCTGCTGTTTCCTTTCTATGGTCTTGTGGCCAGTCTGTGTGGATTGGGACTCTTCCAGAAGGAGGCTTCTCACGCCAGAACAAGGAGTTCAGGAAGTGTGTTTGGGGAAAGGCAATTATCTTTTCTCCTTGGACAGCCCCATGAAAATCACAAGAAGCCAGCCATGAGGATAGGCCAAGCCAGGCCAATGGTGCTGGTTTTGCTCCAGCTGGTGGACTGGTAGGGACTAAGAGGAGATCATGTACCCTGAAGATGTGATCTCCGAAGAAGCAGTACTTCTGTAACCAGCACTGCTTTTTTGGCAGACATTTCACAAATCAAACCTGAAGTATGAAAATGTATAAATTTTAATGGACATTTGAAACTCCTTGTATCTTATGGGGCTTTGTTTCTAGCCCACTGAGCTGGGGAAGAGATAACTCTACACAGGAAAGCTGCACATGGGAACAGGCCTGGTTCTATGGTGTTGCCAAACCCACGACTGAGTCTGCAACCTGGGATATCTCTCTTGCCACAGATGTGTAACTCTCTCTCAAAGAGAGCAATACCTCTTGTGGAACCCATGAAACAGGCTGGTCCCCACTTCCTATCTAAACAAAAGCTACACATTTTCACTGTATTGGTTTCAGGCAATTCCATGCTTTTTAAGAAGGGCTAATCTTAATACTGAGGAATCATCTAAGAAAAACAGGCCAGGGGATCTCCATAGATCTTGCCCTATGTGTGTCTTGTAACCTATCACATGATGATACAGAATAATATATTGTATATATTATTTTATATATTATTACAATATATTCTGTTGCTGTATAGTAATAAAATATGGATAAACAGTAAACATATAAGAAGAATGTGCCCTAGAAATTTATCTAGAAAGAGGATACCCTGGTAAACACTTTTGTGGTGACTGCCTGATAGCCCATTTTAGTATGTTCTGTAATATCAAGTATTCATGGGGCAGTGAAGGATGGAATTTTATGATAAACACAATTTCATATTCTGGCAGGAGGAAAAATACTAATTAGATGTCATAGCTACCGTGAGTTTCTTGAAAACTCCACAATGAGGGACCTAAAATTGTGAAGCTCAAAACATGGAAAAATAAGTTAATAACTGTCTTAGCTGACCCAGTAAAAGAAAAGATTGCATCTAAAAAGTTTGCCCTGGGGATAAAATATGAATGATACAACTCTTAATAATTTGAGAAGATCCACAGTGGGTTAGAAATGTAGCCCTTATTGTTGTGCTTATAGCAGCAATAGTATGTCTCCTATTACAATATGCATCTGATTCAGTGTACTCGACCTGAGCTGCCTGACAATGGTTGAAAAGCATATTTTCCTGACAGTGCAAGGAAAGTCCTTGCCCAAGAGGCATACCATAGCAATTGCTAAAGACTCGTGGAAGTTATCATTCTCTAGCACTTCCTAATGGCTGCATGGACTTACAGGAAATTAACACAATTGTGAAACACCTTCCCAGCAGTGTGGTTGACTTCAAGCAGGATGCTTGTTTGAATGACCCTTTGGTCTTATCCAGAGTTCTGTAGAAGCAATGGGAGCTTTCCTCCCGATGCAAATGGCAGCTTTTTTGATCATGCTGGTAAGAGTGGAGGAAAGGGTTAAACTCCCTTTCCACATCTGCTGTGGTCTCAGTAATTTTCTGCTCCCTTAAGTGGCAGCTATTTGTGTTAAACAAAACAAAACTGAATGCAAAATGCAAAGATACATTTAACATCAAATCTACTTTGACCCTTACCGCTCCACAGCCAGCTCCCAACCTA